ACTGAAATAAGATCTATGCCTGACGGTAACGACTTCACAGCAGATGCTGTTCCCAATTCTGGATTTCAGAAAATTTTGAAACTTTCTGATCATACAGTTTTGTTCACAATATAATCTGTGCCACTATTATATTTGACAAATAGCAGATTACTGTTGTTTTGGTTCATACTGGTCTAAGCACCTAGGCCGTATCTCCTTCCTCTACCTAATTCACTAATCTGCAAACAGGACAAAAATTATACGGACAAAAGTTCTAACCTGAAGAGAAAAAAATGTTCGCTCACTTTTATGTTTGCACTCTGGCACGTGAAATTATTTTATGTGGCTCAGTAGCGTTATTTAAGATTTTCAGTAAACATTTGCGGTTTGAAGCAATTATCTAAGATCTAGTCACTTCATCTAACATATACAATTAATTAATGTAAAATATGCCCAAATGAATGACTTTACCTAACAAGTGATTATGTGAATGAGTCATCAGATTTTCAACACAACGAAGAAGAAATGCTGCAAACTGTCTACTTTTGAAATTGAACATAATAAATATACATAGAAGCTTGCCGTCAACCCAAATTTTACTGGAAAAAAGGCTCATCAGTTTGAGTTTCATCTCTCTTCAGACAAAATTACTGTTTCATTTTTAAATTGAGGCTTTCGATAGCGTATTCTTCTTTTTTTTCGCAGTGTTTATTTGCTAATGTGCGACGTGAACACTGGGATAGGAGCGGAACCCTTACCTCATGATCTTCCCTTGACTAATCGCTTGAGTAATCAAAATGCATTGAATAAGTTCGTTGCCTGTGAGCAGATGGTCTCAGAATATAACTGTGCCATCAGTCTTCGTGATCTATCACATCCATAGCTATGGATTCATCTACTTTAGGAAAGAAGATGCTTTCGTATCCAGAATTTGGCCTTCGCAATAAGCTTCTTGAAAATGTCGAAGATGATTTCCTCTACCATTTCGGTATTGGATTAAAAACTGTGGATATACCAAAGATTTTTGGTGACACTAAGGTAAGGTTTCGAATCGTTTCTGAGCTGATATGAGATAAATCAGATGTTGCCAGCAATACACATTTTCTTTAATCCTTCTGAAATTCTTGTGAAAGAGTAGCTATAAGAGTTGGAACTGTATCTTGGGATTGCTACAAAACAATTGCTGGATCATTTCTTTCCTTTTTCGAAAGATGGTTCTAGCGAAGATTAGGGTGTTTTATGATAGATTAAAAATGTCGATTAAAAATGTACGGTGAATGCTTTACTACTAACTTCAATAGAACCGATTAAAGTTGAATATTTCTATGAATATTTTTGCACTTAGGAACTAATTTAGACTACTTGACCTCTTTCATTGGAAAATAAGAAATGAAGACCACAAGAGAGCT